CTACTCAACGACTTTTTCTCCTTCTTTGCCTGTAAATATGCACATTTACCACATATGGCAATCTAAATCCATGGTTTGCGGCTGGTGAAAGCTTCAGCTTCGCGTGAAGCTTGAACAAACGGCTGGATACGTCAAGACACCAGTCGAACAAATCTACGTGCAGAGATCCTCGACCGAGCAGAGCCGAGGCACCAAGTTCAATAACTCAGCGCGACCGAGTCTATGCGACAAGTCGGTTGGTCTTTCGTCAGCGAACGGAGGCTGATGAGGTAAAAACTGGCCGCGATCGAAATCAAATGGCGGGCCAGATTTCCTAACCGAATGAAAGAGACAAATACGGCGCTGCCCGTTAATGAACTGGAAGCCATCGACAACAACCCGCAGACGTGATGCGTCTGCAAATACGACCTGATCCGCCAACGGTCGCCGTTGCGTTAGGGGGTGGGAGGAAACCGAAGCGAAGTTGCTGATGTTAAATAATTCGCTCTGACAGCAGAACGGTTTATTTCCATAAGAAAGGATGGCCCCTGCTAGCGTTAGGTTTAACCATCAGCGAAGCAGGTGCACTGGCCTGTGAAACAATGATAATTGCGGCATCCCGATCTGATAATGCAATAACAGTTTACGTGATGTTTAAGAAGGATTTTGTCGTATGCCTTGAAACACCGAGTAGTTGAAAACCTAGTAAGCAAAGGGTCAAGTTTGAGAAATAATAAACAAATGCAAAATTTATTACACGCTGAATCGCTGAACAGTTTACAACGAGAAAGCAGTTATAATAGTTACTGTAATTGAGTTCATATCAGAGAAGCGGAGTTCACCGCAGCCCTTATTGTTTATCTGGCATGGCTGCACTGTTCGTTTCGGTTGCTCTGTCACTGGTTCCAAGTCCCTTGTTTCCCAATGTTCGTAACTTGTTCCTTACCAGCGTTTACAATTTCGTTACGCTACGATTATATTATTTTTTGGAGATCCAATTCAGGCGTCCAAAATGACCGAAGCGTAATCCAGCTTAACAACTGTTTGTATGTGGCAACCCAAACTAATAGGGTCGATACTTTCTGCTGACCTTTACACCGGACGGTCATCTATCGGGTAGGCCAAGGCGAATTGGAGCCCTAAAAGACGTTCGCATCAAACAACAGCGGCGCACGTCCAGTACGCTCTGGTATGACCGCAGTGAAACACACGAAGTCGCTGCGGTTTTCAGACATAGGTAAATTCGCAAATCAGATTATAAGTATCACATGGTATTTATAATGACCAG